TAGTCTTCTTAATCCTCTTCATATCACTTTTCTGACACTTGGTGTTTCATTTTAATTCTACTGGCCACTTTTGTATCTCTCTTGAGTGATATGATGTTTTGAGGTTTTTGCTTGCATGTTTTGTAATTTTAACTTTTTGAATGCTGCTCCAAGAATATGATGGAAATGGTAAAATAAATAACATAATGCATTTGTGAACTGCTTCTGCATTGCAGAATAGGTACAATCTTTATTTATTTGATTTATATCTTGTGCTTTTCTTACAAACTTAACGTGGCTTACATAATTCTCCTCCTGCTACTCTCAATCTTATCCCCACAACAACAACCTTGCAAGGTAGGTCGGGCTGAGAGTCTGTGACTGGCCCAAGCTCACCCAGTTGGTTCCATGGCTGAGCAGGGACTAGAACCCAGGTTGCCCGAGTCCCAGTCTCACACTCTTCACCAGATAACTACCCACCACTCTGCACACAGATGCAATCCTGTGCATGATTACTCAGATAGAAGTCCCACTGACTTTCTCCTTAGTATGGATGTGTAAGGTTTGCAGCTTAACGCTATTTCTTGAAAATATTTGGCAGGGAATTTCACCAGATCAGAACAAGATTTTTGAAATAAGGAAATACTAATCCAGTAGCATTTACCTGGAAGCAAACCTTTCTGCAAATTTATGCACAACCTTTCTGGCGGTAAGAGCATGGAATAAATATGCATACAATTCCATTGTAAAATGCTTTGTCTTTTTAATGTAAAGCATGCCGATTTCCTTATGTGCAACCTCTTTTCAGATTTATCTGAAATTTAGATGCATATGCTTTACAGCCAAATATGTCATTAAATGAAGTGCTTCATTCAAGTAAGTGTTTTTAATTGATTAATAATGAACCCCAAATCTGCTTGGCTAGGTACATTTTATTTTGGTTTATGAAATGATGCTCTCAGCATCTTTGAAAAAGACAAGCATTTTGTTGGATTTTTGGTACGTGTAGATCTCTTCCTCGTTGTTGCGGTTTTCAAGTGTTCCCTTCTCAATGGGACTTCCCAACGGAGGGCACCGCCTTGGGTTACATGGGGCCAGAAAAGCAGTTGCCTAAGAATTACTACTGGGGGGGATTTATCCTTGAAAGGGGCTGCAGTCTTCCACGGGGTTGATATGTATCAGTGAGCGTGTATGCACACCTGGTGTGTTGCACACCTCCCATCCATGTCCTCCTAGAGTCTCTCCAAGGCTGCCCTTTGATGCACATGCAGGACCTCCTTGGACCTACAAGCAATGGCCTTGAACCAGTCTAGAAGAATAGGAAGCTCAGACTAACGAGAAGTGATGAAGGAGCTGATGTTGCATTGCATTTTTTTTTTTTTTGGTTTTGTTTTAAGAAAGTGCAGCATTCACAATTTACGTTAGCAATTTGTAGCTTTAAAATATATGGATTAAGGCTGGTTCAAGAAATAATAATTGAGGAATCATATGTGTTTTAATCAATTAAACTCTGCTAAAATTGTGCATGAACAAAGCAATCTTTCTAAAGGGGAAGAAGCTTCTTTACTTTGTATGTAGATGGTACATACAAGTGTGGCAGTTGGCATCATCTTAGAAGAAGCATTCCTTACTTGATCAAAGAAGCTAGAATGCCTCCCCCAAGATGGAGCCTGCCATGCATGGTTTTTGCAACTACTTGTACTAAAAATAGCTTCTTTTTTAACTCTGTGCCAAATGAATCAGGCTGGCCTTTTTAATCAAATAAAAGTTAGCCTAACTGATTGAGTTCCTGAATATTACAGTGCAAATAATGATTCTTTAGATTTCTATAGATAGGTAGGCCTGAAATATTAAACAACTGGTATGCATTCTTACTTGAGCATAAACAGTTTGTCTCAGTGGAACTCAATGGCCTGGCAGCTAATAGGTGTACGGACTACAAAACTTTTGTTTGATCTGAGGTAAATGTGGGCAGAAGGTACATCTCTCAGTCTAATGGTAGGACTACTGGGCAATATGCAGTAGATTTGGCAAGGATTTCTGACTCCCGATTGTTTAACAACAGCAATGACAATATTATTCCCCTCCCTCCACTGAACAAAGTTTGGGGTAACCAGGTGCAGATTTTTGTTTAGAATAACTGTGAGCTCCATTCTGGTGCTTCAACTATATACCTTGGCTTACAAACTTTTCATTCTAAGCACATGTCTCTTGTGCCAGCTTCAAGTTGGTGGAAATTGGAGTTTCAGTAAAACCAAAATATGGTTTGGTTTTGAACTGTCCAGCTGATGTTTGGCATGGATTTTACCATAACACTCAGAAAATTCAGCTTTTATCTCAGATAACTTGCATTACAGTTTGCATGCTATGGCTGCAAGTTAAGGGTTAACTATGCTATGATTAGTCAAGAGAGCCAGTGTGGTGTAGTGGTTAAGAGCATGGGACTGGGACTCAGACGACCTGGGTTTGAGTCCCCGCTCGGCCATGGAGCCAGCTGGGTGACTTTGGGCCAGTCACAGACTCTCAGCCCAACCCACCTCACAGGGTTGTTGTTGTGGGGATAAGATGGAGGAGGAGAATGATGTAAGCTGCCTTGAGCCCTTTGTAGGAAAATGGTAAGATATAAATCCAAAAATAAATAAATAAATAAATAAATAAATAAATAAAACATTGCATGAGCTGCTTTCATGTCAAACTTAAATGGAGTGATCTGAAAATTATAGACGTGAGAAGTAATTTCCAACAGTAGAGAACCCCAAGCAGGCTGATGGAAGGTTGTCAGTGTGAGATGCAAACCCAAATCTATGGGTTGTTAAGGGGTTAGACAGCACAGCAAAAAACATTTAGCATCTAAAAGACCTGCTGTTTTGGATTCTCTTGCACAAGTTCTGATGTTATATGTTAATGGGGCCAGCAGTCAGTCAGTCCGTCAGTCAGTCCGTCAGTCTCTCTCTCTCTCATGCGCACACACACACTATGCAGTAATAGGTAGCTTGCATGAACATGGCTATAGCCTTGTAACAAAAATGAAGGTACAGTGTAATCCTATGAATGTGTTACTACCGGAGGTTGAACATCCATTTCACCTTTCTGCTGCTACAGTTAGAAAGTTCTCCTTAGGGTTGTCATCCTCCTTTCCTGACCTTGCTTCTATGTCTGAGAGAAACAAGCATTAAACACATTTAGAATGCAATTCTGTTGCATGCTTAGGCAGATAAACTACCCCACAAGTCCAGCATTCCCCAGCCAATTGTGCTGGCTGGAACATTCTAGAAGCTGTATGATCTTTTTTTCTCTGTCAAGCATAGTCTGCCCGTAAAGACTGCTCTGGAACATGCATTTAATTCTCCCATTAAAATGGACGGACATTAAAAGGCCTAAATGGATGAATCTTGTTCAAAGAAAAGCAGCAGATGAAGCTTTACTTAGGTTGAAGATAAGTAATGGGAAAAACTAAACCTATGTAGTTTCCCTATTTGATGCTGTTAAAGGCATGGAGTAGCCTAGTGGGACACTTGAACATCTAGGCTCTTCCTAATTCTTGGGGCACTTTGTCTAAACATACATAGGATTGCATCCTTAAATCCTCTTTCCTGCACTGCAGACTCATTGCTTCCCTTTCATACTTCTCAGTATGAGTCTTTCTATTTGTCCTTCCTTTTTTCCTTCGTCCATAAAAAGGTGGCTTTGAAAAAAAAAAAACCCTAAAAGCTAAGGCTGCAGTGTGCTGCAGCTTTTATTTTAATGAGAAATCCCCAAATAATGTACTTCCTCAAAATGTACTACTTAATGCAGCCCCATCGTTGGTAACCATACATACTCTTTTTGCTGACTTAGAGCAGGTTCTGTGTTGTTCAAGCGGGTGGCCTTTGCTAGGTAAGTGTTGGCAACGGGTTTGCTTCAAGATCCAGCTACTTGGCCCTCCGGCTGTTGCCTGTGTCAGCTGCTCCCAAAGTGCTGCTGCTAATGCTTGGGCAGCTTCAGCTTTGAGGGCACTGAAGAAGATGAGCTTAGGAAGGTGCAGCTGCAGTACCTTACGCAGCACCAAACATTACTTTAAATTTTTCACAGTACCTGCTGCAGGCCTTATGATTGTTGCCTCATTTAGAGCTCTCAAGACCTGTCTTCCTTGATGACCTCCAGACTGCAATACCCATGCTGGCAAGGGATGATGGGAGCTATAGTGGCAGTGTGTTTGGAGAGTGCCAGGTTAAGGGAAGGCAGCTGCTCTTTGGTCTGGATTTCTTCATGGATTTAGAGCCACAATCTAGAACCGCTTTCTCCATCCATATGCCCTCCAACATCTGAAGGGCACTCATCTGGAAAGCTGATCTTGAGAGCTTGCGGGATTCCCTCCAGCTCCCTGACTCTATCTCACAACATACTTTTCAAACTCTTCCATGTTTATAAAGTATTTTGCTGTGATGAGCCCTCCAAAATTCCAGAAGGCACATGGAAGAGTTTATAACAATTAATATATTTAAATGTATTGTTTACTATGTAAGTGATCAATACAATCAAAATGTATCTTGAATATAAAGCTTTACTTGTTCCACTCCTTCTTTTCTAGTATTTGAATATTATAATCACAATATGTTCAGGGTGTAATTCTGATCTGTATTAACAGTTGAATTAACTTATGGTGGACCACAATCAAATTTTTAGTAAAGTAAAACCCTTGCTTTATTTTTAGATTGTTAAGTTTAGCTAGCTAGCTTAGCAAGATATTCAGCTTGCACTAAATGCAGTCTTATTTAGATGGCATTACAAATTGCTTTTTAAAGGGTTAGGCTCAAGCTTTATTTTAGTGCTAAAAAAAAAGACTGGTTAAAGCAATTAAAATAACCTGATGGTAAAAGTATTCAGACTGGAAAGGAAGCATTAAAATAATTTTAAAGTAGTTTTTATATTAAAATTTTAACTAATAGGTGAAATAGCATTATGGTACAAATCAACTTTAAAAAATAAACATTCTGCTTTTCCAGCCTGCTGATAAAATGAAACAGGCTAGAAAAATAATCATGAAGGTAGATTGATATAGATAGGACTAGTGCTGATCACTAAATGGATTTCTTATATTCTTCCTCTCCAACTGTTTTTATCTCGCTTCTCTCCAAACTTGTTTCTGCTATCTTTCTTACTGTACTCTTTGATAGGAGCAACCTAGACTGAAGATCTGGAATTGGTTTTAATAATGGTAGGTACCTGCTGTTTATGCTCAGTCATTTTTGAACTAGGGTATGATAACAACAAAGCAAAGCCTTATTAAAATTACTACAAAAAGCTGAAGATAATTTTACAGTTTTCTTTGGTATGTTGCAATTGAATTGATAATGGATTTTCAATCAATTCCATGATAGATAAAATAGTTATGTTTGTAGCTTTTTAAATAGCCAGGATTCTAAAATGTTACGCATTTTTAGCTGATTTGTGGTCAGTATTACATACACTCCCAGACTTGTGATGTGGTCCATAAAAGGAAAAAATGTGTTCACCATGGATGTGAAGAAAATCCCAGTGCATCAATTTCTAAATACACTTTGCTCAATGGAACACATGCACATTTGAAAAATATTTATGGATTTTTATCCATGAGGGGGAAAATATCTACATTGAGCTGGCATGGAACAGACTCCAAGGTGAGAAAATGTGGACTTTTGTAGAAATTGACAGATTTGGCCATTCCTAGATAAGACTAAAGGATCACTGGTTCCCAGATAGTTGTTCCCATGATTTTACTCCATTGCTAATTAATCACTTATTTTATAAATATTTACTTTTTAAAAAAAGTAAATAGTGGGTGTACAGCTCTCCCCACATCTGGATCAAGACTCCGGTGGGGAACAAGATAACCTTCCTTCTTGGCCAGTGTCTCAGTTTCCTCCTTACCCGGATTAGCTTTGTTCACATTTTTTTTAAAAATCCTCTATGCAATTGTTCATCCAAAAAATGGTGCTTCGTCTAGTTTAGCTCGGATACTCTAGCTAAGCCGTTCCTAGCCTTTTGACTGCTCCCTGCATGCCTCGGCTATTTCATCTAGTTCTCTTTGCTGCACTTCATCTGCAAAGCTGGAAGTAAAGGTGTCTATTGTTGCAGAGTTTTACAGACCAGGACTTGCTAGGACAAGCTCTTGAAGACGCCTTGGAGGTGTTACAACACAATTCTGAGGGTGACTTTGATTACGGAACAGGTAAAAAGATAAAACAGTTCCATTCCAGTTTTGATTGTCTGCCGTGGCCCATTATTTCTAAATCCCAGGATATACATCAATGGGCTGCATTGACAACCTGCCTCCAGTCCAATACATTCAGCATAACAATATTCGGTAAATTACATTAGGAGCAAAACAGTGCACCAGATAAGTGACTAGGTAGAAAGGGTAAATATTTGTACTGAATTCATTCATTTATATTTAAATTATTTGCTAAATTTTTACTGTGCCCTTCATCCAAGGATAGCATGCATGGGAAATTGAACCTAGGCTTCCCTGGCCTGAGTCCAACAGCCATTATACTACACTGCCTTGATCGAATCAGGTCTACCAAAAATGTTGAGGGTCAAATCAAGCCCACTTGGTTCCCAGTTTAGCCTCATGAGGTTCCCCAGATAGCTTCAACCCTTGACCGCCATTCATTTGCTTTGTTCCCCACCTTTTGTACAGCTCTTCCTCATTCCAAAACATTGGAAATAACTATAAACCAAAACATTCTGGGGTGGGGGAGGGGGTTGGCCCTTCCCCAATTTTCCCTCTAGATCCACCTGCCATGCAGTGTAGCCCCGAGTTTCTCTAAAACTGAAACATGTTTGTCAGTCCTACATGACTGTAATTGCACGGAGGGAATGAGTGGAGCTGTGCCCACCAGTCCTGCATTTCCTCTATTGCCAGTTTCAGTCACAAGGAGGCCAATTTCCAAACTAGATCTTTAAACCTGGTTCCCTGTATATTTTTACTGTTGCATTTGTATCCTACTCTTCTTTCCTCTTGCAAAGAACCCAAGGCAGTTTACATAGCTCCTCCATTCCATTTTATCAGCATAACAACCTTGCTAGGTGGGTTAGGCTGAGAGTGAGTGGCTGGCTCAAAGTCACTCGGTGAGCTCCATAGTCAAGCAGACTAGAACCCAGAACCCCCAGGCCCCCGTCCAACAGTATAATCCACATGCCACCGTGGTTCTCCCTTCTGTGACACCACAAATCAGTCCCTGGAAGGAAAGACGAAGCTCAGAGGAAGACAGAAGGCTGGTGTAGATGGTTCAGTTGTCACAAGGGGGTTGCGCCACAACAAACCACAGGAAAAGTGAGTTGCTCGAAGATAGTCTATCTCCCCTTAGCATACAGAGCAAATATTGTGCTTTGTTAAACCACAGTACTCAATCATCAGAACAAGAAAACCCTGGTTTAAGCACTTCCTGCAAACTAGGCTTGCAAACTAGTTTGATTCTGCTGTGCAGCAGATGAGTGCGTTGGACTCGGAATGTTTACATCTGAATGGGAGCACCTATTTTGGTTTGGACATTCTTTGCACCTGGAGGCCCTAGATTTTCCACATGTTTTTACTCATAATTGGATATGCCCAGAAATGGTCCCCACAGTTCAGTTGGACTGAGAGGGCTTTCAAACACATCCTTTCTTGTACAACTGCCCTGCCTCATTCACGGAACTGTATGGGGCCTCCAGCCAGCTTCATATGCTGCTTGTAATCCCCTGTACTTTCACATCACATTGTCCTTCTTGCTTCTCACCTAAAAATAGTTTCAGAAGCATGTTCCGGAGCATTTTCTCATCTACATTTTGCTTCTTCATGTATCTGTTTTTTTCTCCCCTGAAGAAAGCTATAAAAACTGCCCGACTTACCATCATCATCCTCTCCAAGCAAATGCAAGTCACTTAGCAGAAACTTCCACAGAAAAAACAGTTTATAGCTGGAGAAATGCAATCGTAAGTGAAATGCAGTATTACAATAGGAAAATGGCTTTTCTTAAATACTGTTATGTTGTCCTGATAGAATCAGTCCTAATAAGAAGCTGAGTATAAAAAGTATTGCTGATTCATCTGTATTGGATAATTCTGTTACTGGGAACTTATTCTGGGGAAATGTAATCATTAGTGAGTGTAGAAGTCCTCACTAAACAGGTAATCTTATGCAGACTGATTTAGAAGGGACCCCTGCTGTACTCAGTGGGATTTACTTTCTAGTAAGGATACTTAGGATTAATCATCATCTAAGTGGAACTGCCCTTGGGCCTGATCCAGACGCTGGTGCTGAATGCAGGGGCTGCAGCATTCACAGGGGCAGCCAGCTCTGCTCATAAAAGGTGTGTGGTTAAAAAAAATGCACTGGCTGCATTAGCTACTGAGCCACATTCATGGTCCCACTGTTGTTATGCAAAGCTCCATACAACTTGGGAACAAATCAAACATTGCATTTTTTGAATAAAATGTAATGGCACTCTTTCTTTCTGTCTGTCTGTCTGTCTGTCTGTCTGTCTGTCTGTCTGTCTGTCTTTCTTTCTTTCTTTCTTTCTTTCTTTCTTTCTTTCTTTCGCTGACATGGCTTGGTTTATTAGTTCATTTAGAAGTTCAGTATAAACATAAATTAAACAACTTGGAAACAGGACTACTTTTATAGATATACCCAAGTGTCCTTTCGGATTGTCCGAGGAGGCCTTGCTGGTCATTCCAGAAGGAACAAAATGTTGCAGGGTGACACCTCACCAGGTGGCCTTCTTGGTGTCAGTGGAAGCCACACCTTGGGGAACTCACCCTCAGGCATTTTGGCATGCAGAAACATGGCAGCTTTCAGAACATATTTGTTCACCTAAGCTTTCCACCACCACCACCACCACCACTGAATTTCATTTCTATCCCAACCTCTTGCAAGGAACCCAAAGTGACTTACAGAGTTCTCCTCCACCCCATTTTTATCTTCACAACACCCACCCTGTAGAGAGTGAGTAACTTGCCAAAGTCACCCGGTGAGCTTTATGGCCCCCAGTCCAACATACTACCCACATTGGGTATCTATTGCTCATAATTAAATCAGTCTTGCTGCTCCATTTTACTGCTTTTCTACTACTCTATATTATTATTGGAATTGGAATTAAAAAAATATTTTATAACTGTGATCATAACCTTTAAATGGAAACTACATAGGAATTTTATTATTATAAATAGTGTATTTGTTGTGAACCAATGTAGCTTGATGGTGAGAATGCTGGACCAGGTTACTGGAGGATCTGGTTTCTAGTCCCCATTCAGCCATGAAACTCTCTGGGTGACTATTGGCCACTCACTTTCGGCCTAACCCACCTCACAGGGTTATTGTTTTGATGGAGTAGGAAATATGTCATCTGCCTTGTGTTTCTCACAAGGGGTGGGATATAAATGCAATGCAATAATACCAATTTTAGTGGTATATAAATATGAAAAATGAATTATCCAAGACCCACTCATCCTAAGAAAATGAAGTTAATAGTGTCATTGAGACACTTGCTGAAGTGAATTTCTCATGCCTCCCTAGTCCCCGCACTTCCTTCAAGAAGCAATGATGCCACAAAAGAAGCCTGACAATTTACAATATAAAGATAGATGAATTTAATGGCATGTGCACATCCCTGTTCCCAACTCATCCTGATTCTGTTCCTGGTCTAAAAGGATTTGCACACATTCTCCTCTTTTATACACACAAAAGAGAAGATCAGTATTTATGCAATTGGTCATTTTCAGTCCTATTTTCTGACTATGGAATTCTAGAGGACCAGTTTTGACTTCACTCCCTTTCGTGTTTCCTTGCTACGCTGCCATCACTTCTGCAAGAATCCTGAAACAGACTTGTATCCAGATGGAGCTGTCTACCACAGCCTGCAGCCTATTCCGAAAAGCCAAGGGGTGTGTATTACTCCTGTACCGCAAAAAGGCAGCAAAGGTGTGTAAAAAGCCCGATGCTCACAAGCATCCACTGCTTTAGTTTGAGAAACACTTTGAAACTTGTTCCCCCTTTTTTATGAATGCATTCATTGGTGTTAGGGGAAATGTATTACGTTTTTAGATCTATCAAAGATAACTGGAGGTTCATTTCTGTTCTGTAATGTATTATATGTCTAACTTTTTACAGATTTAAAATTTTATTGCTTGTTTGTTTTCCTTGTTTTGACTTTGGCTTTGTTTTTATTTTCCTCACTTGTGTTAACATGTTTATATTTCACACGTGCTTCACCCACAGAAATTCAGTTAGAAGAATCAATTTTTCCCCTTTTGGGAGTCCACCAGAACCACTGTTGTGGACAACTTTATGCTAGAATTGGAAAACCCCATGGCTTTTTCAAGAAAGGTCATTCCTTAAAGCTGCTATTCCTTACTCTTGCCAGGAGGGGGAACTTGTGGGGTTTTCGATATTGCCATTGTGTTTTCCACATCATTCTGTTGTTTCAAGAGCACTCATAAATGACAATTAAAGTAGATAGCATGAAACTGGATTAACATTTATTTCCTTTTCCCATTAATCCTGGAAACTATAGATGATTTATTATATTAATATTCCAGCTCTTTTTCCTTTTAAGGAACTCAAGACAGTTTACATAATTATCCTCCTCTCAGTCTTATCCTCACCACAGCAACCCTGTGAAGTGGGTTGGGCTGAGAGTCTGTGACTGGCCCAAAGTCACCCAGTTGGCTCCATGACTGAGTGGGGACTAGAACCCAGCTCTCCTGAGTCCCAGTCCCATACTCTTAACCACTACACCTCACTGGCTCTCATAGATGTCTGAGAGGAACTTGGGATCCCTAATAAAGAATGCTTCACTCTTTCATCAACCTTTTCAGAGCTAGGTTCTTCCATCATCATCATCACCACCACCACCACCACCATCTTTAATTTCTATACTGTCCGGCAGCCAAGGCTCTCTGGCTGGTTTACAGCAGGTTTCCTTTAGCCCTAATGAGCAGTCCTGACCCAGTGAATGAAGACCAATGAAGTGAACCAGGAGTGTCAAACTGCAACCTGGGAGGGGCAGTCTGAGGACTCCCTACTGATCTCTTTCTTGGCCAAATGCTGTGAGTGGTGGGCTCACATCCCTGATGTCAGAGGGCAGGACCACCACCTTAATGTTGTCCAGTTCCTGGTTGTTTTGCTCAGTGTGCCAATTAAGAGGGCAGAGATAACAGCAGTGACTCCTTTTCTGTTTGAAGGCCTGTTTGGAGAGGCCTCCTGCAAGGCCCTGTAGAACTGATGGGCCAGCCAGCCAGGCAGAACCTGGCCCACAGTTTGAAGGGCTTCCACAGATGTTCTAAATGGACAGTTAAGCATTGCCCATTACCAGGCCTCAACCAAGCAACTGATAAATCTTTGTGCTGTCAGCACAACTTACATAAAAAGTAGACATAAAAATGTTTATACTTACATAAACATAAAAATGTTTATACTCAGAAACATTATGAAAAGTTCCATTTAGAACTTGCTTTATGTTTGTTTTCTCTTCCTTACAGGCAGGAAAAAACTGCGCCTATTTGAATACCTTCACGAATCTCTGCAGAATCCAGACATGGCCAATTGCATCCAGTGGATAGATCAGCCCAATGGCATCTTCCAGTTTGTTTCCAAAAACAAGGAGAAACTGGCAGAACTGTGGGGGGAACGCAAAGGAAACCGGAAGACCATGACATACCAGAAAATGGCCAGAGCTCTGAGGAATTATGGAAGGACAGGGGAAATCATTAAAATCCGAAGGAAGCTGACCTATCAATTTGGTTCTGTGGTTTTGCAGAGGCTTTCTCCCACTTATGTTCTGGGGAAAGACATTGATCCGTATGTCCAAGATGATCAAGAGTGTTCTTATCCCAGTGACTGGCTTTCTTATCATTATTACATGTATGACAAGGGCCATGAGCTCCAGCAGCCTAGCAGCAGTACAAATCCATTTTGCTATAGCTCTTAGGAAGAAAATTTGGAAAACCAGCAACTCTACTTCAGTATTCATAATACTTTTCTGTTAAGATACTGCCTTACGCATTGCATGCAGACTTACATATGGATCTATTAACTTTCTAGTAGCCTGAAAATATAAGCAAGTTTTCAGCTCCACATAACCCTTCCTCAGGTTAAGATGAAATATTCACACAAGGTGCTTAACATAGCAAACTTTCCATGGAGTAAACCCAATTGAGCTCAGTTGGGTTAACTTCTGCACAGACATATCAGCAGTGTCAGGCTGCAGCCTGATTCACACTTAACTAGGAGAAAGTCACACTGAACTCAGTGCAGTGTCTCTTTCTGAGTAGATGCGCACAGGATTGTATTTTAAAGCTCCTCTTTTTTTAAGATGAGCAATCCAAAAGACATGAAAGAGGCTATTATAACAATACCTTGATTTAACAGTATAGATTTAGTGGCCAGTCGCATTTCTTTCAGTGAAACTTTTTTCCAATTAACAGTACCATCTTAATCATGTTTATTCAGAAGCAGAGTGGAATTCCTAGTAAGTAGGCTGAGAGTTCTAGCCCAAATGGTAAGGTTTCAGGGCATGTTATATGAACAACTGCAAACATGAAGGTTTCGGAACTTCCAGTCTGTCTCTTTTGTTCTTATGCATTAAACATATCAAAGATTACTGTGGCATTTGTGTTCAGTTACTTCTGCACTTAGTTTAAAAGTTACTGTGTCTATTTTGGGGTAACAGACTTGTTACGGGCCCCTTATCAGCCTACGAAGGACATCAACATTGAACTTCACCCCCCACACCCTGTAGAACTGGCCCTAGATTTGCATATTTCAGAGGCTGTCTCAAGCAATAGGTGTTCGGGAAGAGGGAGTGGTGGCAAAGTGCTGCAGGTCAAAGTCACGTGTGCCACAGGACCTGCCCCAATCGTTGTCCCAAGGTGTCCCATCACTACTGGTAAAGTAAGATTTGAACTAGGCTAGCTAGCAGCACAGAATACCCGCTTATCGCTTATTGAACCTAGCCCACCCTTGCGCACGGCACACCTACTTGCTAACTACTTTATCTGAAAGGTACAGGGTCTACCCCGACCCTCTCAGAGTCACATAAGCATGACCATGCAAAACCAAAAACAGGAACAAGGTGGTGATAGAGATGCACAAGATGCACAAGAAGCATGAGCGCAAGGTCAGGCAGGGAAGATAACATGACTAAGAGGCCTGCAGGACCCGGATACCAGCGACGATTAGGAGTGGTCAGCAGAAACTGCGGCAAGAGACGTGCCGAAGACATACGTTAGTACTTTTCCAGAGATAAAGAAATGCTATAAAACGGCTTGTAATACCAGACATAGGCACCGCACTTTACTAAAGTGTTGGTCCCTGCGCAGGTACAATAAAGGAGCTCCTCCTTCTCTCCACTCTGGTCTTGTGGTCTGTTTGCCAAGGACTGACAAGGCGTCCGTTGGGATATAACAAGATTCATCAGGGCTGGAGTGGGGTCCTCCATGTTGTCCCTTGCCTCATGTCTTGGGCTAATCCCCTTTCCTTCTGCAGTCTTTTCACCCTCAGATGCTTTCCTCCCAGCTGAACAAACTCCTGTCCTTATGAGATGGAGCCTAAATGAGGAGCAAAGGGCTTGGAGGATGAATTCTAAGTGTAGGAGAGCAAAGAGGGAGTTTAACTAATCTGCTTGGCCTTTTAAGGTGTGCTCTCACTCTCTCTTTTTAAGTATGATGTGCAAGTATGATTTACTATCTCAAAGCAGGAAACATGGCCACAGTTGGTGGTGTTCAGCTCCGTGGAGAAGGAGCAGGACTCTTTCCTTGCTGTACATCTTTCTCTTTCCAGTGTACATCTCTCCAAACAAGAGAAGTTATATTGCAGCTCCCTTCAGCTCCTGTTCTCTTAACCAAACTGAAAAGTGCATTTCTACATGTGATTCGGGGGCACCTTTTAGAAGTGGAGTGTTTCCCCCTTCCCGTAATGTATAGATTGTTATGCTATACACAATTATTCCATAGGAGCAACTAGGTTGTTGGATTCTAGGAAGGGTAAAGATACAGTCAGAATAAATGTCCTAAAATGCAATGCACAGTTTTCTTGTTGCAACTGAAGCAAATATATCCAAGAGCAGGCCTTTGATCATTGCCGCAAATCTTTTATCTGCTGCTGAAATTTCCTTGCCTCCCTCCTGCTGAAACCTAAGATGGGCTCCTGATGTGGATGCTTGTTTAAATACTCTAGTGGCAGCATAAACTGTGTCATCACAGGTTATGATTATTAGAGAGACTTGAGGTTAGCAAATGATGAGTGGTACAGAATTAGAAAAAGGATTTGCAAGTAAGCTAATATCACCCTGTATATGGATGAAATGACTGTGTGCTGATATCAGATGACTCTCACAGTGAGTGGTGGAAGATGTAGCAACCAGATTCATAACATAATATAGCCTGTCTCAAGAGCTTTAGTTTTTTTTAAGCCTCTAAAATTATTCCACATGATAAACAAGCGAGCACAGTAATTAGAGTACAGGCACCTGAACTTGCACTGAAGTTCTCTCAATCTAGTTTTCTTTAGTGGACTCATAAAACACATTTTAAGATGCATTTAGCTTCCCATATCATCAATGTAATTAAATTTAAAAATAAGCAAAAGGTCTGAGGTCCCCCTCAAATAGTTTCAGGACTTTGATCTGACCTCCCATACTCAGCTTCTACATAAATATGATTGTGGTCCTCATCTTTATTTTTTTTAAAAAGTAATATATTTATGTATAAAAGATTTAAAATAGTCAGATTTTACTATATAGTTCACTATATATATTGAACCAAGAGCTGATTCAATGCAGACTTGGTCATAATTAGAGACCAACTGAAATAAAGTTAGGCATGCCTATCCTGAGTTCTACTGGTATCAATGGGTCTACTCTCAAAGTAGGACAGAATGGATCCTATCCAGTGGGTGAGTTTGCATGTCCCTCTGATCTACCCTGCAAATAATGAACATCGGGCTGAGAAAACCATGGAGTACCCAAGAGACACTTGGGCTCTCCATCTCTTTCCCCCTGCCAAATTCCCCAGTTGCTACCCAGAAGACTTGGCGGCTAACGCTGTCTTGTCACTTCTCCCTGCTCTGATCACAAGGCCTGTTCTGCTTGTCATGTTTTTCCCCCTCCCATTTTTGAAAGATTGCCCTTTGCCAGTGACCAGCATGTGCAAATTTTCGCTTTGGAGAATCTGTTACTAGTTTGTTACCCCCACTTGGAAAAAAAAATTAAGCACAGGAAACATACACATTTTTCCCACACACAGTTTTTTTTACTCAATCTTGAGCACTTGCAGGGTTCAAAATGGACAGGTTCACCCAGGATAAGTCCTGGCAGATGCTTGCCGTCAAAGTGGCTGTCATCTGCTGTCAAAGTATTTTTTTACTTTGTTTGTGAGAAAGCATCTGTTTGCCCCTTTATGTGGTGAGAACCTCTATCTTTTTGGGATGGACCTGGGTAGCTGTTAAAATCGAGGCTTCCTTTTAATTAATTATTTATTTGAAAGGGCTACCCAGACTTTTTTTGACAGACATAAATGTATAGGGAATTACTTAGATCCCTATAAAATCCCTTTACTTTCGTGTTGGTGTGCAAAGTTTAATGGCATATGGTAATTTGAATTGCATTGAACTGAAATGTATAAAGGACACATTTAGCTTTGTCTCTGCATTGTGACAATCCTGCTGACTACAATTAATGCAGTAACATCTGGGAGAACAATGCATATATGTTCCCATGCTCTGGTGGGAGGAAGCTTCCTGGATGCATGCTGCCAGTCCCTTTGCCAAAAGACCTGTGTGCGACCTGAGATTCAATCGACGAAGCAGCTCTTATGTTAGCAACATGCTACAGCTAGGATGACTAAAGATACCCCAGCAGTCTGGGATACAGTTCTATACCACTAATTATCATGGATTCCCCCAAAGTTTATCAAATTATCAAAGAATCCCAGGACAGTCAGGGATTTCCCCAAAGTACTGGGGGCAGCTTTTGCTTGTCAAGCTGTGCAGAGAATCAGATATTATGTAAATAACGAACATCGGTAAATAATGACCAAAAAAGCCAACTATCAGATAGACTGGTATCGGATTGCAACCTCAGAAAAAGCACTTCAAACCTTTCGAAGTATGTGACTGGGTTGGTCCAAGTGGATTTTCCTTGCCTTCTTCTCCCTTGAGCATCCTCCCAGATCCCCCAAAATGTTACACAGATGGTGGGAGGACCCTGCAGGGGGAAGGCTGAACTCAGTGTACATCTGAATTTGATGCCTCAAATTCAGGCAGAGGCATCACCCATGGGCTCCTCTGCCTGAATTTCAAGGAAAGGATCCTGTCCTCCCTTGTTCCACCTTTGTGCCTTTGAGCAAGCCCCCTCTGTGTACCATTGGAGGGAAGTGAAGGGGGAATTCTGTTCCCACAAGCTCAGCTGCAAATACCCAAAAGTTGTATTCATTCCCCCATTTGTAAAACCCCTGTTAATTTCAATTTGGAACTCAAAATAAGAAAAAACGTCCGTCCATAGAGGGTTGCAGGTATATTCTGCTATTTCTAACATCCAAAAGGGGAAATCCTGCAGTGGGGACCTGCCACCCCATCTGGCCCTTTCACATAACTTTGCAAGAGTTTCCCTTCTGTCATCAAAAAGAAATTCTGCAAAACACAACTCTTCCGTAGGATGCTGTTAATCTGCTCCACACTCTTTCAGTTCTGTTGCAAAATTGAGATGCATTAGTATTTCCTATCATGCTTTTCAATTATATAACCTCTAGGTGGCACTGTGGTATAGCAATGATTATGCAAATACCTAAATGAAAATAGCATTCTCTTTCACTTTCTTTTATAGCATTTTCTCCTGCTATAAAAAAGCAGACCAAAAGTACTGTTTTAAAACAAGGGAAACTGAAGGGTTGCAATGTTGTTTAAAGAACCCATATACAGCTGCGTGTATGGAAT